CGGGAAGCCCATCCATCCCCACCGCCCTGCAGCCGGACCCGCAGGGACCCGCAGGCAAGGACAGGGAGAAGACAGGGCTCTGCTCCAGCTCTGCATTTATTGTAACAGGGAACGGGCAGCAGAAAGGCCTAACGCCAGGTAAAAGGGCTCTCTGCAACCGGGAGCGGCAGCTCCAGAGCCACGCAGAACCGGGGACCACAGCACGAGAACCCACAGCGCCCTGGGGCAGCACCAGCAGCACGGAAAGTGGCTTATTACACAAATGGCAGCAAGCGGCGGCCGCGGGCATCGGGCCACATAAACAATCATCATGGTGCAAACCCTCTGTCCAGGACCAGCAGCAGGCTCCAGCTCTCCTTGGCCTGTGCAAGCAGCTCCTCCTACGCCAACAAGCGCCGTGACGGCGTGCGCTAGACTGGCCTGTCCTGGCTCCCAGGAGAACACGGCTGCGCTGGGCTGGAACGAGGAATGAGGACCGCTCTGCTAAATGTCCTGGCACGGCTGCAAAGGGGAAAGGTGCTAGCGGATGGAGAAAGCTCACGCAGGCTCAGAGGTCACCCCTCCAGGTCCACCTAGGGAGGCAGGTTTGCTTGCTGCAAGGAGAAACTCCGCTGTGACCCAATGGCTGGGCACGGGGCAGATGGCCTTTGGGAGCTCACGCTCTCCCCAGCGACAGCTGCGTTCAAACCTGTAGGCTTCAATTTCAGCTCTGCGACGCCAGCTCCCACCTGGGGCAGCCTCAACCCACACCCCCCAGGTGCTCTGGGGGCACACAGGTGGGAACTGCCCTCTCTCTGCGGGGGATTGTCGGGATTAGGGTTTCACTGGCCATACAAGAACCCCTGCGCTGGCACATCCCCGACAGGGAATATTTGGTGCACAGCAGGGACAGGTTCCAGCTGTGCAATGACAGAAGGAAGTCCCCAGCTCGATGCAGCCATGTGCCAGTTTATTTGGATTAAAAATCAGAGTTTCAGGGACACTCAGTTTAAAAGGATAGAATGTTTTTTGAGTCGTCAGCTCTCAGACTTCCCTCGGGATCTTTCCCTCCTGAAATCTGGCTGAACAGAGCAGATGAGAGGGACACCCTGCACCCCCACGTGCGGGTGGACATGGCAGGGCTCACCTCTTGGCTCATGGCTGTGGGACACGCACAGACTCTGCTTTGCAGGGAGGGCTGCTGGGGTTGGTACAGGAACGGGGAAAAGCAGAGACCAACGGAGAACAGTTTCCAGAGGGGGTTCTTAGTGGGGGTGGGGGATGAGAAATTGCTTCACCTCAGGGCACAGGAGTGAAGTCAGGAGAGCCAGGCAGGTTTAGAGGAGGGACACAGGTCTGCCCCACACACCAATGCCACTGTGAATTACGCCTGAAAGGAGATTCCCAGATGGAAAGAGCGAAGCCAACGATGGAGCAGATTTTAGTAGGGAGAAGTCCTCAGAGCTGGTTGGCGGAGGGCAGCTTTGGTGCTGCCCAGCCCCAGGCTAGGAGGATGAAGGAGGATGGAGCATGCTGGCAGCAGGGACCGCTGAGGGGGTGGCAGGGTCGCACCTGAGCAGCTCTCCCACTCAGCCCACCCAGCTCCCTGCCCACTGCCGCTTGGGCCAGCGGCCAACAGCCTCACAAAGCCTTGTCATGGAGAAACGAGCATGGGGAAGCCTTTGGTGCCTATGCCGGTAGGATGGCAGTGCTAAGCATTTGCTTCCTCCAGTGCAGATGGGTGCTGGGGCTGATGGACAGAGGATGGATAGCAGGGGAGAACGGCTGTGATGAGCGGGAGGCAACAATGATGTCCCTGCTCCATAACGCAGGGTGGTTTTGACTAGGCTTCTACAACTCATCTACAAGATACATTCAGCAGCAGTGTCAAGTGCTGTGGTTGGAAGTATTCTGCTTGTTTCCCTTCCCTCCCCATCTTCAACCAGTGGGGAAGGGAAGGCCACCGGCTCCAGAGCACACCTTTCTCTTTACTTTGTGACTTGATGGATGGCATGAGCCAGGTAACCTACATTGCCTGATGTAACTCCTGCCACAGAGATTCGTCCGTCCTTTGTCATATAGATGGAGAACTCCTTGATCAGCCGCTCCACCTGGGGTGAAAGAGCAGAGTTCAAACCACAGGCCAACCTCTACGCTCTTAGCAGAGTGCAAATTTACCCAGCTTGCCAGAACTGAAAGCAAACTGGGAGCCAGCAGACATGGCATCCCACTGCCTGCAGAGCCAGCAGTGCACTCTGTAACAATCAAGAGATGCTGCTTGGCTCTCGGGCAACGCATAAATGCTGCAGACATTCAGCCAGGAGAGTCACCTCACTTCAGAACGCATAAATGCTGCAGACATTCAGCCAGGAGAGTCACCTCACTTCAGCTGACCTTTAAGGTCACCTCAGAGCGGCACCAAGTGACTGCTTCCTTTGACAGATAAGCAAGCTACATCTGCTTTCAACCTCCACAAGCAGAGCAGGGAGCAGAGGAAGACAGGGGTCCCCATGATGCTCCAGTGCTACAGGCTTGGAGGATGTTCCTCCTGGAGGAAGAACTGCCCACGAGGCCTCATTTTGGCACCTGCAGTCAAGATCTTCCTGACAAGGACCACAAACGACACCTTGAGACCACAGGAACTACGTTTACCTGCTCAGGCTTCAGTCCCGTGAAACAGAACATGCCGATCTGGTCAGTGATGTGCTGCCAGTTGTGGGAGGATCCCTCTTTCTTGAGGTTGGACACCAGCTGAGTCCGCATGCTGATGATCCGGTCGGCCATGCCCTTCACCTCCACGAGCCTGAGAAGCCAACCCAGGAACTGCTCAGAGCAGGGCTGGGATGCGCCAACACTGCTCCACCCCCCAACTACCAGGAATCAACCCTCTCCCATCTGGAAGGGCCTCATACCCCAAAAATGTGGGGGATGCAGATGAGCAAAGACCAGAGAGCGTGAACCTGTAGCTCCAGCTGGGGAGCTGCCTCTTTCTCCTGGTACCTGACGGTGACTGCTATTTATTTATTCCACAGCTGTTGGATGCTACTACCAGAGTATCAGCATTTCTCACTTCGGAAAGCCACAGGTGAGCAGGAGGCCTCATGGCAGCACTGCCCAAACCCAGATAAAATAATATCTGCAGATAAACGAAGAGTTGTGGGGGTACCTCCCAGTGCAGGCAGACATCCCTGCTCCAAGGCAGCACAGCTAGGAGACGTCTCTGCTGGGCCCTGGATCAGGTGTAAGCGTCAGCCTGCCAAAGGAACACGGCTTCCAGCGAGGCCACAACACACAGTCAGCCTTTGTTCTGCCAGGCCAGCTGCCGGCAGGGACTCGACATTGAGGGGCTGGGAGAGCAGCACAGGCTGATGCCAGGAAGCAGGCTCAGAGCATGAGGGTTACATTCCTGGGTCTTATTCCCAGGGGGCTTACGCTTCCACTTCCCATGTGTGAGACATACTACGTGGCTACAACACCTCAGTCAGCCTTTTCCACCCCTTGGACAGGCAGCTCCTGCAGTCCTCAATCCTAGGGGAGCTTTAGCTCCTCCTTTACAGTGTTTTCTGCCTTGGTAACACAAGAGAAACCCGTTTGTGTCAGGCTGGACCAATACCAGCTGGTGCGAGGACACGAGCAGGGATTTCTCCAGAGGAAAGGAGTGACACGTGGTTCTGACTGTACCCCTGAAGCTATGAGCTGCCCACGACAGCAGCAGGCAGTAAGCACAGCACAGGGCTGCCACAGAGAAACCCCACATCTCGATGGCGTGAGCATTAGGGGTTCCCTCTTACCACTCCTTCCGAAGGTCAGGGGTGTTCAGGATGATAGAGGCAATGCGGGCTCCGTTCAGGGGTGGGTTGGAGTACATGGGGCGGATGAGGATCTTCAGCTGTGATTCGACCCTCTTGGCTTCCTCTGCATCACTGCAGATCACCGTGAAGGCACCCGCACGCTCTCCTGAAAGAGGGGCAGTCAGGTCCCAGCCGCTGCCCTTGGATACGCAGGGCTGGGGCAGGATCTATCCAAATGCCACACAGCTTTAGCGGAACCCTGTTCTCTAGAAGGGTCTCCACCAGCTCCCAGTGGGTTATCTCCTGCACCCCGATCAGAACTGTAGGATGAACACAGGCAGCAGAAAGACACTGGCTGCTAAACCCCAGAGGCAGTGGGGTCCCTCCAGCAGCCTGGATGAAACTGCCTCCGCGCCACCTGCCCTACTCACCGTACAGCCCCATGTTCTTGGCGTAGGACTGTGCCAAGACGATGTTGATGCCCTGCTCGATGAAATATCGCACAGCCCATGCATCCCGGTTGATGTCCCCACTGGCAAAGCCCTGGTAGGCCATGTCAAAGTACACGAGAAGGTTCCTTTTCTGCCAGCAAAGAGGGGAGAGAGTGTCACAGGAGCTGAACACCGCTCCAGCAAGCAGGGCAGCAGGCTGAAGAGAGCTATGCAGGCAGCGCGCTGCTCAACTGCAACTGTGGACCTCCTGAAGTGGAGCCATTCCCCTTCGTTTGCAACGGAGAAGGCAGCCCCAAAACCACAGGTACCCACCATACATCAAAACAGCAAGTCAAGACCCTCCCAGTGCATTTATGAGACATGCAGTCTGGCCCAGAAGGCAGAAGTGGATTCAGCAGTAACAAATTATTCCATTTCAGTGTCTCCTGTATTATCAGTTTCCAGGAAAACCACCTGGGAACCCTCTGGGCAGGTGCCAGCCCTTCCAATGCCTCCAGGCAGATAACCCAGACGCACTGCCCCTCAGTCAGGAGACCCGCAGCCATCTGTAGGCCCCAGAGGTCACTTTGATATCTACCAATGCTCAGAACATTACTAAGGCCAGGCATCCCCAAGCCAAATTTCACAGGCTACAGGTTGGGAGAGCGGCAGGGAGGAAGACGACAAGGATGAAGGAAGAACCTGCCCCTATCTGTTTCCAGCTGAAACTTGCAAAGAGAAACCAGGCATGTGAAAGATCTTCCAGCATTTTTAATACACCAGCACTGGGAGACCCTCTCCAGCTATCACAGCTCACTTTTTCAACCCTGCTGCTCTCCTTTCAGGTCTCCCTACCCCAGCTTCCTGGGAAGGTGCCACCAGAAAGTCTGACGGTCAGCTAGACGCTTTATGGGTGCACTTGTCTGGCTCCTGTCTTCAGTACAGGAACATGACACCCATCCTGGCTTCAGGGAATGGAGTAACCTTTAGCGCAGTGAAGGCCAGATACCACCCATGAAAGCCCAGAGATGTGGTTTTCCCAGGAACAGCACAGTACCCCTGGGACGCTCTACTGCTCACCTTCACCACAGCCGCCAACTCCTTCCATTGCTCCTGCCGGGGATCCACCCCGGTGGGGTTGTGAGCACAAGCATGCAAGAGGATGATGCTCTTCTCTGGAATTTTCTAAGGAAGATGTTACAGAGAATGAATTATTGATGACATCTGAGCACTCTCCTCAGCAGCTGAGATGGGACTCTTGCCCTAGATAGCTTAGACAAGCTCTGCAAGGCTTCTAGCCTTCATTTGGTGCCTTCAGGCATCATATTCAAAAACGGTGAAAGGGATGGAACACCTCTCCTATGAACAAAGGCTGAGAGAGTTGGGGTTGGTCAGCCTGGAGAAGAGAAGGCTCCAGGGAAACCTTATAGCAGCCTTTCAGTACTTAAAGGGGGCTTACCAGAAAAATGGGGACAGACTTTTTAGCAGGGCCTGTCGCAATAGGACAAGGGGTAATGGTTTAAATTCAAAGAGGGCAGATTCAGGCTAGATAGAAGGAAGAAATTTTTTACAATGAGGGTAGTGAGGCACTGGAACAGGTTGCCCAGAGAGGTGGTAGATGCCCCATCCCTGGAAACGTTCAAGGTCAGGTTGGACGGGGCTCTGAGCAACCTGATCTAGTTGTAGATGTCCCTGCCCATTGCAGAGGAGGTTGGACTAGATGACCTTTAAAGGTCCCTTCCAACCAAAACTATTCTATGATTCTATTACATTTAGGCTAAAGCAAGATGATCACCCATCTCTCCACATCACCTCCCTGCTTCCAGGCATGAAAGACAACTCACGGAAATGTCATCCATGGCTCCAGAGAAGTCAAGGCTGCATGTCTTGGGGTCATAGTAGCGGTAAGCCTGAAGTTGCAGGCCAGCATCACGGAAAATGGGTGTGTGATTGCCCCAAGACGGTTTGGGTAGATACACATCACGGCTAGCCTTGAAGAACCGTTGCTGATCAAGAGAAAGACAGTGTTCAAACAGGTTGAACAGACTCAAGCAGTTAGAAAACCCCAAAGATTCAGCTCTGGTCTAAAGATGTCCTTTCCTTCCCTCACCAGCCTGGGACTCACCAAAAAATTGGCTCCAATTCGCAGAGATCCAGTCCCAGAAATACCCTGCACAGTGACATACTGCAAGGGAAGAAACAAATACATGCATCTGAGCAGCCACGGTACGATACAGGGAAAGCCCAGTCACTATGTCAGCATTGGCAGAAGCGCACCTCTGTGACAGCTCCCTCAAACAGGGACATGGGGCTGAAGGGAACCGCATGGGTCAGCAACTCCAGTTGCAGGGCAAGGAGTTGGGACCCCTGGCAAGGTCAAATCCCCTCCTTGGGAAGGGCTATTGCACCCCAGCCTTCAGGGGAAACAGTTATCCTTGGGTCTGGCCAGCTTGCAACTCAGAGGCATGAGTACCTGCCAGTCCTTCCACTTTTGCTGGGCACCCACATACCAACCGTCCATCAGAGTGCTGCCCACCCCCTGCTTCCCAGCTCGCTCCTTACCCGTCCGCTCTTGAAAGCCTCACTGTTTTCACCCAGAGCCAGTTCTGCAGATGCCCGGGTGAAATCTGCGAGCCCCCCGATGGGCAAGTACTCCTTGTCCATCTTCTTGGATGCTATCATGGCCTCCGCCTGGGAAGGAGGACACACATTCAGCAAGGAAGGCATCACTGTGGAGAGGATGGTGGACAGCTCAAGGTTGCTTCTTTTCACATTTGCTTGCTCAAGAGGGGCAAAGGTTGGTTTACAGGAGTTTCCCTTCAGAGATCAGGGCTCATTCAAAGCCAGGGCAGCAGTAAACATTTCAGGTGACAGTCTGCTTTTACCACGGGGCAAGGTGCCCAGCGGCCACCAGTGCCCTCAGTGGGTGCCAGTGTCAGTATAGCAGAGCCAGAAAACCCGGCGCCAGAGGAGAGCACTGCTTCCAGCCTGTTACAAGTCAGCACTGCTGCACAAGGACACATGTTTCTTCACCCAAGCAGGAGTTGCCCTGCAGGAAGGCAAGACTTGACTGTTACTGAAAGGCAGAGATTGTCTCTACACAGGGAGACATCCCAAAACCAGGTAGGGTAGGTAGCAAGCCCTTTGTAAGGCCTCGTCATGCTGGGAGTGTTATTGAACTAGATGGAGCAGGTTAAAAAAAAAAAAAAATCCCAGCCAGTTTTGAAAGCAGCCTGTCTGAAAGGTAGCTCACCCAACCCTTAAACATGGCTCCCCCCAGCTTTGCTAATCTCTACTTCTTTCAAGCAGATCCTGCATCAGAAACCAGTCCAAGTCTCTACCTAACACAGGATCAGAGAGTGGAAGCCAGAACAGCAGACAAGGAGCCATGCTCAGGAAAAATGCAGTGATGGAGACACCTAGAGTGCTCTGGGAACCCTATCCATGCTCCCAGAGCGGCAGGACAGACCCTGGCAGCATTCACATGCCACCAGAAAACCATTCCTGTGACACCACCCAGGCTCCCTGGTTGTGACCCAGCTGCAATACGTGCTAACACAGGGGAAGCGAGGGCAAGGGATGGCTTTAAACCCCACATTGATGAGAAATATGGACAGTGCCTCCTCCCTGTGCCAAGGAGGCCAGCCAGTCAATATGTGTGTCAGCTGCCAGCTATTTAATGGCCTATTTCTACACTTACAGCCCTGAGAGGCTCCATAATCCCCTCAAGGGCAGTGTCCACATCCAGCTCCCTGGGCTTGAGTTTTAGACTGGCTTATGGAGAAACTGGTAACAACGGCTCAGCAGAATTTCTAAGACTAATCCATCAACGGGACAATGTCAGCTCTTTCCTCCCATGTGGGCTGGCCCAGGGAACATCAGCCTATTCAAGAAACACCTTGACCTTCAGAGGACAGCTGGGTTGGAGGGCTCATGGAAGTCAGCAACGAATTAGATTTACCCAGATGGGAATAGGACACGTATTTCCCATTTTATCCCCTACTACTTAACAACCAGCTCTGTTGTGTCTCAAAAGCATTAGTACTGCTAAGGAAGACATCCAGGAACACTGTCCTGCTCTGTTAGAGACAAAGCTTATTCTAAGGACCAACAGGCAAACCTTGCCTAGAGGCCTTCCCCCCTCCATGATCCCCGACACCTGGATCCGGCCCTGTCCAGCAGCCAGCACCAGGCTCACCTTGCGAACACAGTTCAGGACGTACGGCTTCCCGTTGTCATCCCGGTACGCCCCCACACCCAGGTTCATCTTCTTGGAGTTGGTGTCGCGCTTGAAAGCTTCTGTCACCCCCAGGATAGGGTCGGGGGGACCCATCTCCACATGGGACCACCACGAGCTGAAGGGAAAAAAAGAAGCTAAGAATTAGGCTTGAGAACTGGGCAAGGACACGCACCAACATGGCCAGAGAGAAAACCTCAAGAGAAATCTTGTCTTTAAACCACTGGAAAAGGCACAAGCAGGGCTAAGAGAATTACCCAGGGGAAAAAAAAAAACAAAACAACTCCTTTATGCTCCACGATCTGGCACTGCGTTTTATGTTGCAGAGTGGGCAAAGAGCCTCAGTTCACTGTGGCTGAAGACGACTGACCCCCTCCAAGTCATTAACATGTAGAAATGCCCTGCTTGCTTTATGTGCTGACACCAGGAAGGCCCCAGGAAACAAGCCTTAAACTCTTACGCTCTGGCCAAGTGCCATCTCTTCACAGCCTACAGGCGGGATCACGTAGGTTAGTCCCCTCCAGGGAACCTTGGCCAAATCCAGGCAATTGCATAAAGCACAAATACGGAGCCTCTTCCAAACTCCTGGAAGGGCTCTTGTGCATGAAAACTAATCTGCTTTTCCCATAACGTTGGCTGACCTAATGAAGCTATTTCCTTTCCCAAAGAGGGATGTCATAGCCAAATGCTGTTTTCCTGGAAATCACACAGGACACTTTCTTCCCAGTGTGGCCAGTGACAAGCTCTGATGTGAAGCCCCCTTCCCTTTCTATCAAGCACGAAAGCTCCCTTTGTCAGGAAGAGCTTTGCACCCCGCTGCTCAGCAGCCATTCTACAAACCACCTGCCTCTGCCCTGTTGGCAGGACATCCTGAAGATGGAGAGCCTTTCTTAATGTCAAGGGCAGACCAGACCATGCTATAAAAAGAAACCTGTTATTCTTCCTTTGGCCACAGCCTCTGCCCAGTCCCACATCCAGGCTTTGCAGGCTTGTAGATAGCGCAAGAGAAGAGGTTTTTAACCTGCCTGACACAGGGCTGCAGCTGTAACAGCCCCCTCCTGAAGACAGGAGTACTAAAGACAACAGAAGACTCCACACAGCTCTGAGCATCCTGACTCACAGCATCACGCAGGTGGTAGATTGGGTTTATCTCTTCCAGGGCAGGATTCAGTCTTGATTGCTAAAGGCAAAACACACAGTGAGACAGCTCCCACCACTAATGCTGCCAGGTATCAGTTTTACAAAGCTTTGCAGCCCCGGGAAGGCTGCCTCACATGAAGATAACAAGCTTTCCCAACACAGGAATGCTGTGTCCTGTCCTGTCGTGTCTGTCGTCCCGTGGGTCCCGTTCCCCTCCACCCCCGGGCTGGGTTTTGCCCCAGGCAACGCAGGCAGCCTGGAGCCACCCCTGGGCCAGCCAGATCTCCTGCTGAGTGCTCGGTGTGGTGACAGATACAGCACCTCTGAAGGCAGAAGGGCCAGGTGGGTTAAGGAAGCTCTAGCACTAGTGATCAGCAGAACTCACAAAATCATCTTCCCCCTCCACTCTGTCCCTGTTTTGGGTCCATTTAGACCCAGTTTACTCACTACATAAATGCAGTTTGCACTAGCATGTGTATGTAGATTGCATCTCATGGAGCCCCAAACATCATTTGCTCTCTTCGGACTTAACTGCTCTTCCCATCAGTACAGTATTTCCAAAAAAAGCCTGTCTCTTCCTTTTGACAGGCTCTGTGGAAAAAAGGGCAACAAACACATATGAGGCAGAGCCACCTCAGGTAGTTTAAAATGGAAGATGTGCTTAGCGTTCTCTAGACCACTAACAAGTGTTAATTACCTCTCTGGTTAAGTACAGGATCAACTTAGAAAGGAGGATGAGTCAGTCATGCCAGCAACACACACCTTCCAGAGAGGGACACGGGCTGCAGCCAGCAGGGAGGGAGCAGCCTGGGCAGCCAACCTGAGCAGGACACACCGAGAGGGCTGCCAGGGCAAAAACCTACTGCAGGTTCAGGCAGCATGCAATGCTGCTTTGGAAAACCTCTCCCGATGCCTTCCTGGCAATGGAAGGTGCAGAGAAACACACTCGGCACAGGAGCATGTCCCTCTGCAGTTTACCTGGTCTACAATTATTTTGGTATCAAGGGCTGCAGGAGCCCGGCCATCTATTTTGCAGATATTTTACATCTTTGGGGATGGTGATGGCACCTTCTTTCTGCTGGGCTTTTCACCAAGCGGCTTACAGTGTTTGGGGTATTTAGGTCCTGATCTTGCAAACACTTAAGCAGGTCACTGGGCTCTAATATACCACTGCTGCAATTAATGCTGATCCTGCGGGCATTTACCTAAGCTGCAGCACTCCAGAGAGTTAAGTACTTTCCTTCTGAGCCGGCCTTTCTATCGGCTTAAGGCAGCGAAGGGTAGGTTTAGGACTGATTTTCCCGTTCTCAGCCTGAAGGCCAAAGAAAGACTCTTCTGCTGCTTCCATGGAGGTGAGCTTGCAGGGAGACAGGAGAAAAGTCCAGGTTGAGTTGTCTAGACCCATGAGGATATCCAAGAGATCACAGAGGCAAAGCTTTCTAGACAGGAGTTTGGGAGAAGACATCTACTAGGGATCTGAGGCCGTAAGTCCTAACGCACCGCTGCCCCTATGTTACTGTAACATTGTTGTCTCTGCACTGTGTTATATTTTATTTTGAGCAATTAAAAGAGCATTGGTCTCGAATAAAGGTCAAAGTTATAAACTGCACATCTTCTCTGCCAGGCTGGAGGAATTTCAGTGCCGAAAACTAAACGAAGGCAAGTTCTAGCTGGGGTTGAACTACCTGAGGGATACCCAATGTAAGCCAAAGAAAGCATGTTTTCCAGCTACGGGACCTGAACACAGGTGGCTGAGTCAAGAGTTCAGATGCTGAGCAGACCTGGTATTCAAGTAGTCTCCATATTCTCCAGCCAGGCTGGTCTTCCAGGCTGGTTTAATACACAGCTGCAAGCGCAGTGTGAAAGATGGGACAGAGAGAAGTTGGGAAAATGCACCAGGAACTGCATAAACCAGCAACACCCTTCAAAAATATATGTGGAACTTACAGCCCGAGCTGCAGAGACCTAAGAGCGTGCTTATGGACTCAAGCCAAGCCCAGAAAGCAAGTTTTCCTCTAGGTAAGCAAGCATTTGCAAGTCCAGTGAAGGTTTCCATTGTGAAGAGGCCAATCCACGTTCCCTGAGGTACAGCCACGTAAGATACTGGATTTCAAAACCTCTGCCAAAGCCCCTACAGCAGTTCTGCAAGCCAGAGCAGAGCAGAGGGGCCAAAGGCGACAGGCTTTGCTGGCCGGATACCACAGCTAAAGCAAATATTTACACAAGAACAATGCCAACAGGCTACTACAGTCCTTTCAAGCCTAACAGTTAATTGCCCCAGTCAGCTGCGGTAAGCTCCCCACCAAGAAAAGCATTTAAAATAGCTGTCTGGTGATACATCAGAGCAGCAGACTGAGTTATCACCTTAATTAGCATTTGTGTGTCAAGGGAGCCATTTTAACCACTTCGCATCTCTTCACCTCTGTCCTGATTTCAGAAAGACCTTTCCCAGCACAGAACAACTGTAACAACTCCCAGCATCACATGAAGTTGCTGAAGATAAGGAAAGAGAACACTGCCAATCACTGCTTGGCATCCCCTATCGCAGGATAACTCTTTGGTAACAACTGAGGGCTGTGCACAAAGGCTCTTTACTTACAAAAGGCATGGTCTGCGCCCCTTTTAGGTGACCTCAATTCAGTTTGGTAATTTATAGTTTGCAGTGTAACAAACTTGAGAAAAGCAAAGCTATTGCCAGTGGGCTTGCGTACCTTTCACAGGTAGAAAACACAAGTTCTAGATACCTGCTCCTCCGTACCTGCTGAGAAGAGCCAGGAGGCTGCCTCAGGAGAAGCAGGGGCTTGGAGCATTCGTCTCACAAGGCAGCAAGGGGCTATGCTGGACAGAACAGGGTTAATCAATACCTAATAGCCTTATTTATCTGCTGGAATGGGGAAATAAAAAAAAAACCCACTGCTTTTCTTCACTGATAAGGGCAGGGAGCTGGTCCTTAAAGCTTCCCAAACCAGTGTGGGCCAGGAGTCAAAGGGCTTTGGAGAGCTGCAAGTCCTTGCCCAGATCCCTCTGCACGCTCTGCTTCTTGGCCACCTGGTCACGGTGGTGTTCCCAGCCAGCGCCCTGTGGCTCTCAGGTCAGCTGGACTTTGTGGAGCCATTCTGGGTTCTTCACAGGTCTCCAGTTGCACCCTGGCTTCAGAGACAGCAGAGTCCAGAGCTACCAGCGCAGAACAGGCCCTCAGAGAAACACCCTCGCTCCCATCCCGCTCACGCCAGGCTGTGCACACCTGAAGGCACGGCTCTAGCACAGGCAGCGCTGCACACTGGCAGTGCCACCCCAGCCCCATTTCATGGTGCATGGGGTCCCTTTGGTCCTGCTACGTGGTGCGTGGCAGGCAGCAGGACCCCAGCCCCATTTCATAGCACACGGGGTCCTTTGTGCCCTCTTGCACAGTGCACACCACCAGCAGCACCCCAGTCCCGTTTCTCGGTGCACAGGATCCCCCACCCTGGCCCTGCTGCACACCACCACCAGGAGCACTCCAGCCCCATTGCACGGTGCACAGGATGCCCCCGGACCGGGTGCACACCAGCAGCAGCAGCACCCCAGCCCCATTTCTCGGCGCACAGGGTCCCCCCGGCCCCGGTGCGCGGTGCACGCTGCCCGTGCGCGCGCCACCCCGCGTGCCCACGCGCCCTCCACGGCGGTTCCTCAAGGGCAGGCTGGGGGCGCCGGGGCCCGCCGCCGCCCAACAGAAGGCGAAGAGG